ACCTTCATCTGGTCCATCTGACTCCTCCCTTCTCTTCCTTGACATCCGTTTCCATTTCTGGGGATAGGCTGGCCACCATCACTACAAACCCACCAACTCCCAAAATTACTTTGGCCAGACATTCTCACATTCTGCTTCCTGTAAAGACTCTATTCCACTCTCAGCTCCATCTCTGTTGCATCTGTTCCAGTAATGCCAACTTTGACTAGGGGTCTTCCAAAATGTCCACCTTCTTCCTCAACTGACGATTTCCCACCAGTGTGGTTGACAGGGCCCTCAGCAGTGTCTTACCCCATCTCTTGCACTTCAGCTCTCACCTCCTTCTTCCTTCCCCAACAGCGATAGGGTCCCCCTCATTCTCACCTACCATCCCACCACCATCCACATCCAAAGGATCATTAGCTGCCATTTCCGCCACCTCCAGCACATACTGCCCTCCCCTCCCTTGACAGCCTACCACAGGGTCCAGTCTCTCTGGGACACCTTGGTCCACTCCTAACACCTCCCCACACGCCCCTGGTACCTTCCTATGCAATTGCAGAAAGTGTAACACCTGCCCATTTACTTCTGCCTTCCTCACTATCCAAGGCCCCAGATACAACTTCCAGATGAAGCAGCAATTTACCTGCATTTCACTCAATATAGTCTACAGTGTTCGCTCCTCACCATGTGGTCTCCTCTACACTGGGGACACAAAGCACAGATTGATCAACCACTTTGCAGAATAACCACGTTCTGTCTGCAAAGAGGACCCTGAGCTTCCAGATGCCTGTTATTTCAACATACCACTGTGTTCCCTGGCCAATATCTGTCTTGGGCTTGCTACAGTGCTCCAGCGAAGCTCAGCGCAAGCTGGAAGAATAACCCTTAGTTTCCGCTTGGGAACCCTGCAACCTTCTGGAATCAATATCGAGTCTGATAATTTTAGGACCCAAGTACATTCTCCCATGTTCTTACCTCAACTCCCACACATCAGGCTTTGTCATCACATAGGCTGCTACCACAAACAACCCACTGTCAGCTACTAACAGTCCCCATTAGCAGTTATTCATTCGCCCAGGCTGACCTTTAGCCACTCTTATCTGCCTAACTATTTTTCTCTTTCTCTCTGACTCTGTCTCCATCTAACGTTTACCCTCTCCCACTCCCCCCAACCCTTCTGTACCAGAGATACCAACCTTTTCCTAGATACAATCAGTTCTGAAGGTCATAGGACCCAAAACTAACTCTGCTTTCTCTCCACAGATGCTACCAGACTTGTTGAGTTTTTCTAGCAATTTCTGATTTTATTTTGGATATTTTCCAGATCTTGATGGATCCTGATGAAACGCTGACTTTCCTGCTCTTCTGATGCTGCCTGACCTGCTGTGTTCATCCAGCTCCACATTGTTTTGACTCTGACTCCAGCATCTGCAGTTCTTGCTATCTCAGAACATCCGTGTGTCACATATGACTCTAACCAGCAGAGAGTTTGCCCCCAGTGCCCAGTGATTCCAGTTTTGCTAGGATTCCTTGATGCTACCCTTGGTCAAATGTGGCCTTGATGTCAAGTCCTTTCTGGAATTTAGATCTTTTCTCCACATTTGAATCAAAGCTGAAATGATGTCAGGAGCTGAGTGGCCCTGGCGGAACCCCAACTAGGCATCACTAAGCAGGTGCTATTTGATAGTACTTTGATGAGATCTTCCATCACTTTACTGATGAATGAGAGTAGACTGATGGGTGATAACTGGCGGGATTAGATTTGCAGTGCGTTTTGTGAACAGGACATGCTCGGGCAATTTTCTAAGTTGTCAGTAGATACCAGTGTTATAACTGCCCTGGAAAAGCTTGGATAGGGGAGCAACAAGTTCTGGAGCACATATTTCAGTACTATTGCCAAAAATGTTGCTAGGGCCCATAACATTTGCAGTATCCAGTGCCTCCAACCAACTCTTAATAGCATGCAGAGTGAATCAAATTAGCCAAAGACTGGTATCCGTGATCCTGCGGACAACTGGAGGACGCAACAATACTGAAGACGTGTGTTTCAGGCTAGCTGTGAGACTAGCAAAGCTATTCCAATATGGCATTGGTATCAACTTGACAATAACAAAAATTGCCCAGGGATGTGATGTCCACAAAAAGCAGGACAAATCCAAATTGGCCAATTACTGCCTAATCAATATACTTTTGATCAGCCATGTAATCGACAGCACTTGTCAAGAAATAACTTGCTCACTAACACTTAATTTGGGTTCCACCAGGGCCCCTTGCCTCAACCTCATTTTAGCTTTGGTCCAAACATGGATGAAATAGCTGAACTCCAAAGATAACTTGAATATGACTGCTCTTCATACGAAGGCCATATTTGACATTCATTCAAATCAGTTTTTTTTAAACTTTATAGCATAATAGGCCCCTCAGGCCTGATCTTGCATTTAATAAGATTTTGGCTGATGGACTTCTGGCCATAATTCCACTTTGCTATTTGAACCTATAACCTACGACTCCCCTGTAGGTCAAGGATTTGTTTAACAATTTTTTTGAAACTCTGGTGTGTAATACCTAAATAGTCATGGAGGAAATCCATAACCTCTGGCTTGGGGAGAAAAAGAGTAAGAACGTCAGTGCCCTCTTCTGGCTAGCTGTATATTAAACTACTGCATACCATAATACTCTCAAATCTTATTGCATTCATCTAGCTACAAAACTTTCAAGTAATTACATTGCTAGACGATGGGACCAGTCTTGGACAGAATTTGCCTGAATACAGCCAGGACCAATGTTCTTGCTGAAAGACTATCTAATACTGCTAAGAGATAGTAGGAACTGCAGATGCTGGAGAATCCGAGACAACAAGGTGCAGAGCTGGATGAACACAGCAGGCCAAGCAGCATCATAGGAGCAGAAAGGCCTTTCTGCT